GTCCCGGAGGTGACCACATTGCGTGGCAGACCTCTCCTGACCCGCCACGCCGCTCCCCTCAGCAATGTACTTCAACGATCTGCCTGTTCTGCTCCGCTCTGTCTCTGGTGAAGCCTCTCGCCACCCCTGAGCCTCTGGCCTGTACCCCAGTTCTGTATGCACAAATAAATCTTAAAAAAAAAAGTTTTTCTCTCCAAGACTGGCTGGCACGGTACACAGCTCAAAACGGCAGGTCCTCCGAAAGCCAGGCACCCAGGTGAAATATTTTAAGAACAGATAGCAGAAAAGGAAGAGGAGGGAAAGTAGCAAGAGCAGTGGAATATAGCCTCCAGAGGGTGAGGCATGGGAGGCTGTCAGTGTAGGATCACTTCAACACACCGTCCGCTACTGGATCTCCAACCCTCTCCTAGTGCTGGGAGTCTGGCCTTCAGGATTCTGAGAAGCCCCAGAAATATACCGAATTCTACAACTATGCAGTTGTCCCCATGGGAAATTACTCTGGCACCATCCTCCACCTGCTACTCCTTTACCCTCCTGGGATACCATTCACAGATGCCACCCAGCTTCAGAGAACACGATTTAAGCTGCTGCTCCTACTTCCTTCACCGCTCAGCTTCTCAGATGCAGTTGCTGCCTTAGCAAGAGTAAGCGCCCATGACCTATTGGACCAGACGTGTGAAAGTCTACTCCAGAGCCAAAGCTTTACTTTACACTGGATTTCAATGCTCAAGCTGATGACAAGTACTGCAATTTATTTTTTAAAATTCCACCAACACTGTTTCCATCAGTAACTAACTGCTCCCCATAGCAGTGTGCACTCCTAGGGAACTGGAAGATTCCCTGCCTGACAGGTTGGGATTAATCCAGGGTTTCTATTAACTAACAAATACACAATGTGGTCCTTTCTCAACTACCAAGATATTCATGAACAGCACTCTTAAAAGTTGGGTTCAATGACAAATGATGAACAGACAAATTTAAAAATTCACATTTCTTTTGAAGCATGCATAATATCACAGCTAGTTTCAACAAAATAAGTCAGGTGCTGTTAGATGTCTCTAGAATCTAGCTGGTGCCCTCTGAGGGCCAGCAGTGACCACTGTTAGGAATGCAGATTGCTGCCCAACTCCCTCCATCTAGCAACCTGAATCTGGTGTGTGTGTTTTTTTTTAATAAGAACAACAGGGTTTTTTTTTTTTTTAAATAATTGACATGCCCACTAGTGTTTATGAATCAGTAGTCTACAAGAGAAAGTTCTGTATGAGAACAACCACTTCTGCATTTGCCCATCCTTGATGCACATTCAGATGATCTTAGATAATTGTATATTTGAGATGCATGGAATTTAGCTACATCTGAAAATGCATGTCATCCAAGTGACCTAGCAGTGGCAGCCAGAGCAGCTAGTAACTTCTGAATTCTTACATGTGACAAGCACTATTCTGGGGGGCTGCACATTAACACTTAGAAACAGTAGTTTCAAATTGTGCTCTCTGGAACTCTGAGGTGCCCCAAAAATACAACAATCTAAGTGTTTTTCTGCCCAACCAGGCCCACAACACCTTTGATGTTCATGAATTTATATATTGGTCAAAGATGACCACTGTTTAAAAGAAAGATTGCAAACTACTGACTTTGAGGAGTTGGGTGATTATATACTAGTGATTCTTGTTGGAGAACTTAAGTGCGATGCAGGAGTATATGCAGGAGTATAGCAATGATATTAAACTTTGTAAAAATGTTGGTATGTGTTAGTTACCATTTTCCTCTGGTACCTCATACTCTCCCCAAAACACTACACAGCATGAATTAGTTTTTGAAAGATCTGTTCAAAATAATTTTGAGACACTATTCTAAAATTCATTCTTAATCACAAAGTACTTGAATATTACTTTTTAAAAAGCCATCAGATTTGATTGGCTTTTCAAGGGCACTGCCTTGTCAAATTCACAAGTAGTCAATACTTAAAATTCAAGATCCGAATAGGTCAGAATAAAATGCAACACATGCAAACTTTTGTAAGGGAATTTCCATCACAACAAGCCAACCATAACTGAACGTCAGGCTATCAACAGCATGTACACCACCACTGCAAAGCAGGCAGATGCTGGCCAGCCAGGAAGATGGGCAACGTTCATGATAAACAAGTCACTGACAAATACAAATCCCCTGCAAAGTTTTTCAATTCTCTGGAAACAAGGGTGATTCATGTGCAAGCCTTTTCATCCCTGTGATAATAATTTGAAAGACAGAATACCCAGCATTGGGTACGAAGAAAGAGGCATGTCAAGCACTGCCAGTATGAGGGTAAATTTGCTCAATATTTTTGGAGAGTAATAGAAAAAATTTAAAGTGCACATTCTTTCCACCCCTGTATTACCATTTGTAGGAATTTTCTTACTGAGGTACTCCACAAGTATTGGTAAAATACAAGAAGATCTACAGCAGGGTTGCTTAGAAGAAAATCAAGATCGGGCAAGAGAGAGGCAGGGTCAGGAACATAAGTGGCCAGGACTAGAGGTGACTACAGAGACCAGAGTCCAAGAGCAGTCTCTGCCATCGCCAGCAGTCGTCAGTTCCAAGATACTATGAGCTGTAGACCGGTCTTGATATAACATTGCTACAGTGTGGAAAAAAAGCAGCCTGTCAGACAGCAGATGCATTTGGGTTTTCAGGAGAAACACAAAGTTTGCCTGAGATCCATGATTAAGATTTCAGCTTTCGTTAGTCTCTTAAACAGAAATATAGTACCAGCTACTATAAAGACATGCCGATGTGGAGGGAAAAGGTTTGGATGAAAAGAACCAATCATCAAGGGTACACTTCTTTAATGAAGTTCAACTGAGATGGAGTGGGAAGAGAAGGACATGCCACCTTTGATTCATTATTTATTTAGAGTTATTCTTGAAAAAATGAAACAGTGACTAAGAGAAAAGATTTGTGGTATGTCAGCACCATGGGAAGACGGCACCTGCCGTCAGAGACGAGCGTATAAAGCAAGCAGGCCACTCCCTGAGTCCCTGCCCTAGTGATTAGGCAGGATGCCCGCTCCGTAAGCTCAGGGGGAAGGGGGTGGTTCAGGTTATTTTTCCTGAGTCACAGCTGCTGTGGGCAGCTCTGGATTCCAGACCCGGTCTGTCTGGTCCCAGAAACAGCCCTCTTTCCATTTCTGGGCTCTGCACAACTGCCATCTATTTCTTTGTGCGTTTGCTCTATTTTTTCTATTCTTGTCCCTGTTACAGCATTTCAAATTGTTTCCTTTTTTATGCCACATTGATTTTATTCCCAAGCTGAAAAACTAAGTTATTAAATAGTTTGAAGGCTTGCACTCAAATTAACTAAAGTTAATACAATTTACTCTCTTCAAGTAGTTCTTTCCCTCTGGGCCATTCTGGGAATTTTCATCATGAACTCCTTCACTTTACACTGCAGTGTTTTTAGAGTTTTAACAAAGCTTTTTACAGTCAAGTACAGAAAGAGAGATAAACACTCTCAAGGGACTTTCCTTTAGTCAGCGGTAAGGCGGAGGCCAGCTGCCCAGCCCGGCCCTGGCACCTCGCAGCCCCTACTACCAGGATGGGTAAGACCTGGGACTCAGCACATCACACCATGCCCATCAGGCTCAAGGGTTAGTCCTAGATCTGAAAGTGGAAAGCGACTTGTTCACACCTCCTCCTTGACTATTTTAACCCCTTCTTCCCCTCTCACAGAGGTTGACCCAAAAACCACCTTTGAATTTTGACCTCTGACGATTCCAGTCTATAGTCTCAAATACTATTTTGCTGTAAGCAGAAGCAATCGGAAACGAAGATTGTTGAGGGGAAATATCAGGAAATAAAAATCCTGAAGGCACCAGCTGCTCTCATACTGTGCTTCTCTGGGTCATTTCTGAATCGTGCTTCGGAGAAACGAATGAGGGTTTCCAAAGTAGCAACAGGCTCGAGGCTGGGGGCGCAGCGGTCTCTGCGGTCGGTCCTGCTTTCCCCTTCCCTGCACACAGACCTGCAGCCCGAGTGAGGGGGAAGACGCGGACGAGAATCGCCCAGGTTCAAGGAGAGCCTGTCCCAGAGGCCCCAGCAGGAGGGGGAGAGGGCTCACCTGAGTCCTTCATGGGGCACAGGGCGCACTGCATGCCCCAGGCCTCTCCGTACAGGCAGCAGCACTCGGTGTAGGTGGTCTGCTTGCCCACGAGAGGCTGGCTGCACACATACTCTTCGCTCAGATGCTCCCAGCACAGGTCTTGGTAGACATCAGTTTCTTCAATTTGTTCTGTAAGGGAAGACACGGTTCCATGACAGTTGCACTGTTATTCCCATTTCATAAACACTGGTGGAAGCCAGGGCAAGTCAGAGTTTCCATCCTTATTTCTAAGAGTGACTTTCCAAGTCAAAGTCTGAAGCCAGCCTGGTCTTTCCATGGACCAAAGCTCAGTCTTCTCAAACCCAGTCAGCTCTCTAAATGACTGGTGTCATTTCATCAGCTGAAATTCAACCTGCCCGGCATGTTCCAATTAAATTCTTCCCTCTCTAGCTTCCCACCACAGCCCACCCCTCCCCCAACATCTTGCATGTCCTCCAAAGAGCGGATAGGCTTCTCATTCTTTCACTCTTTGCTCTTGCACCTCTATTCCCCCATCATATCCTACCATTTCTTTCTACAAAGCATTTTCATGCTTTCTCACCATTTCATCTGCCAAAGCCCTGGAGGTAGTGACACTTGCCCCTCAAGTTTTCCTCATAACCTTTCCACCTTTCAACTGATTTCACCCAAAGGAGCCTTCAGACTGTGTTGATTGATGCGCTGACCAGTTAGGCCAATCGTCAGTGGCGGGTCACTTCACAGGGGGACCCAGAGGCATGTAAGTCAATGGACTCCCGGGCTCTCCAGCAGAGAGAGGTGTCTGCCACCCTCTGTTCCGTCCAGCCTCATCTGTGTCCTTTAGTCCAGTCAAGGAAACTTAATTCTCTCTCCCTGAACTATATCCTTCCTCGGCTGCCTCTGAGGGTTAAGTGCAATGAACCCGTAGCCATGAACAGGTCTACTGTCAGCTCAGCCACTCTCTAAGCTATGCCCAGTAAATGGGTATATTCAGGGCATTAAGTCTCCTGCACGCAGATGGTGTGCAGCTTGTAATTTCTCTTCACATCTTGTTTTAATGATCTCAAAATTACGCAAGGAATCACTTTTCTATTTTCCAATAGCTCACATTTCAGTTGAAAGCAAAACCCGGTGACATTTATTTGGATGTAGACCTGCATCTCACATCCAAACATACCGTGGGATTCGGCTGGTCGTACACATCTTTTTTCTGACGCATCTAGGACCAGCGGGTGGGTGCAGAAGCAGCTATAAGAGCCTTCTGTATTAACACACTGACCATCAATACAACTGTTGGGGTCTTGACATTCATCCATATCTTAAAGAAAAAGAAAAAGAAAGACATTAAGCATTCAGTTGCACCTCACACACTTACCAAGCGACACACTGCCGAATTCAGTGCACATTCCGGAGGCTGCCACATTTTAGTTAGTTGCACATAAACCAAAAAGAGAACTTGGGTTGGAAAAACAACAGCGGCCCTGATGCTGACACTGAATAAAGCTAAAAAACATTTAGGAACAGAATATACCAAGAAATTTAACATGAAATGCCTCTTTCCTGATCATTTTAAAATTATTTCCTTTTGCTAAGTTTTTTTTTAAAATATTTATTTATACATACAGAACTGGGGTACAGGCCAGAGATGTGGAGGGTGAGAGGATTCACCAGAGACAGAGTGGGGTACAGAACAGGCAGATCGACAGGTACACTGCTGAGGGGAGAGCGGGTGGGTCAGGAGAGGTCTGCCGCGCCATGTGGATCTCCTCTGGGGCAGGCGGGGATCGAACTCATGCGGAAGTGGCTTAAGCTTCTTAGTGCAGCTTTAACCCGCTGCGCCACCAGGGAGGGCCCCTTGCTAAGTTTTTTTTTGCCTATGCTGCATGTTTTTCAGCTTAGACATTAAAGACTGGGTCAGTTTTTAAAAATGACTGTCACTTGTTTGATAGGAGTGATGGAACAGGACATTCCTCAGAGGGAAAAAACACTTCAGTTATACTGGTGACCTGAGTCATAATTCCACGTTGAATATTAACTCTTTGTTTGAAAACTACTCTAATAGTAGCATAAAGGTTTTCTGAAATCTTGCTCATGAAAAAGATCATTAAAATCTTTTTAGATCTTTCCAACACATGATTTACACTGAAGGAAACTCTTACTACACAGAATTACTTATTTTTTCCACCTATTCAATATATTTTAACAGCACACCACACTGTATCCTCTTAAAACCTACCAAAGCACTGCAATTTAACAGGGTCATAGTAGGTCCCCTGCTTACAGTAGCATTCATAACCAGGCTGAGTATTCAAACAAAAGCCATTTTTGCAAATTTCCTGTCCGAAGAGTTGGCATTCATCTGCATCTGAAGGGGAAAATGGAGAAATAGATGAGTAAGTTTTGCTCTTTCAGTTAAATTGGGCTCCCAATTTGATGTTATAGGACTGATATTCCAGAAAAATCTTAAAGGTACAACAACATAAAATTCAAGTCAGGCCTCATTCTCAGGTGTAGAAACACACATTCAGGCTTGTCTATATGATATTTAGAGGATAATGAGTACAATATCAGCAGAGAAGATGTAAATATGGTTCTTGGAGGTTGATTTTCTATCTGATGAAATAGTATGTGGGTTCCAAAATGGCACCAAAAATATTCTCTGATGAGTTTAACATTTAAAGAAATATGCCATTCTCTAAAGGTGTATTTTGGCCCACTAACCACTGGAGAGGCAGGTAGCGTGCAAGAGTTTGATGGGACGTTAGGAAAGTCTGTCTTAGTGATAGGAAAGTTGCTAAGGGTACTGGTGAGCACATTTTCCACAGAATCTGGAGAGCTCATCCCCACCTCAGTTAACTTCGTGGCAAATGGCATAATATGGACATCAACTTGACAAGACTGAAATAACTGAACAACAAAAGTTTAATGTAGAGGCTTCAGCAGACTCTCAAAAGAGTTCTCTATTGCTTTTGTACAGTTAGTACGAGCACTGTTCTAGCATTTTAGGGCTAATTCATCCTCACTAAAAAACAAACACACACACACACACACACAAACTGGAGACCTTACAAACAATTGCACAACTGACACTGGTAGAATATGGCAAAACCAAGTTCATTTAGATGTCTGTTTGGATTTGAATCTAATCTTCCAGCCATTTACAGCCCTGATAAGATAGAGCAAGAAGGAATTTATTCTTATATAAAAGGAAGGACGACTTTATGGTGAAATCAAAGCTTCATTCTATAATATGAAGTGAGACTTAACTAGATCCCTGCCACACAGTATATATGTGAGCTCAAAACTCATTCAACACATACTAAGTCCTATTTCTATTAAGTTGATCTAAGTCATAGATATATTTCAAAAACACATATGGAATTTCTTATCCAACTACTGAATTATATACTATGCTATTAAAACACCAGTTTTATAAAATATATGGTCAGCAAAAGTGTATTTAAGTAACTTACCTGTTTTCAGTATTTGAAAAACCATACAGGAAAAAAGGTACTTTGTACATAAAGGGTGCTCAATCTCCATTATTCAAAAGTGAATAATGAAAATACTCATATGTCTGGTTTAAATGCACCAAAAGGCTGCATCTTTATTTTAGAATTACATACTATTAAGTATATAAAACATATTTACTTTTGCTTTTTTCTTTTCTATGCTTTATTAAGAACCTGTGGCCATGAGTAAAAGGTCTTAGCAATAACAGAAAGAGCTATAGGAAAGCAAATATCTTTGCTTTGTTGACCATAAATATCACAATGTCACAGGCCAATTTCTATGTGCTAACTGCATGATTTCTAATACATCTCTGGAGTAAAATGATATATTTACTGAGCACAGCATTTTGTGTTGAGTACTTTCATATATATAATCTCACTTAGTTCTCAAGTCAACTTAAGGCATCATTCCTATTGCAGACAAAGAGACAGAAACTCCTACCCTCGACATACAGCTTAATGTTCCAACACTCCGGCCGTGGATCCACAGAGTCCGCTGGAGCCTTCTCATTGTAGAACTAAAGGTTTTGTGCTGACATTTCCAGGGCTCAGAAGAACACCAATCACATGCAATCCAAGCTATGCCTTGACTTGAAACTGATAGCGCGCACGCACACACACACACACACACACACACACACACTGCAAACACATTTCTACTTGATTCTGACCTTTATAGTTCTCACCACCATTGTCATAAGAACGTTCTCCAGCAGGGACAAAACCTTTTCCCCTTGGACACATTTCAGTGAATTCAGCTGATTTAAGGAAAGACAAGGAAAAAAGTTGAATAATGAAAAAAAAAAAATCAACATTTCCAAGAATGTATTCTTGAATTCAGTTTGACTTTCCAGATGCAATAATGTTAAATTAAATCTTACCATCTAATTTAGGAACACAATTCAGTACAATCTCATATTATGGTTTAGATAAAAATAATTTCATACATTTACCAATGTTTTTTTAAAAAAACCCATAATTCACACATATTTCATTTGTCCATGTTTTACTTGATATTATGTCTCATTTCTCTACTACTGTGGTTTCTGCTATTTTAAAGGTTCTATGATAATCACTCCAGCAGAACCTTAGCTAAATATACAAACTCAAGTTATTGATAATGCTCTGTTATTGTTAGGGAGAAAAAAGGTTGGCTTTAATTTAAAAATGGAATAAAACTGATTTACCTTTCTGCCAATCTGGGGCTCCACTATGAGTAGATAATGTAATGGACAGAAATTTAGGAATTCACATTGAGGTGAGAGGAGGGGATGGTCCCCGCCCTGAACGCAGCTCCCTACCGGGTCCTCTCAACTCCACTGGACCATGGCAGGTCACCAGTGAGTGTCAGTCAAGGTTTTAATGCAGTGATCAAAAGAGGAATATTCCAGGCACCAGGACACCACACGATCGGACACCACTTCGTTGGTTCTTACCAGTCCCCACGACTGGGCAGGGGAAGATTTCACAGTTATCTCCCCAGCCAGCACCAGATGTACAGCAGCATTCCTCTCTGGTGACATTAGCAGCCAGCACATTGTCGCAGAGACTGGCATCGTTGAGGTTATAGTAGCATTCTTTCTTTTCTTCCCTTGGTTGATCTACATCTGAGACTGAACAGAAGGCAGAATGATGAGAGCAAACCCCCCTCACTGTCACATAATACATGCAAGAGGTGATCCCATTTGATTTGGAGTCAAAGAACAAAACCTATCTGAAACACAAGGCACACAACACAGCGGTGTAAAAGATAGACTGCATGTGTCCACATGGCGTTGCGTTTCCAGAAACCTGTTTTTCACTCTCAGGGTCAGATTTTTCCACTTAAAGATTAACATGTACTTGAATCCTGAATTTTGGTAGATTTCTAACATACCCACAGAGTGTAAATCTGTCGAAGTCATTTCCTTTTACGTTAACCAATTACTTTATTCTTGCAAATTTGGCTGTGACTACAGTTTCCATATAGGCTTTCTTGCCAAGCATAGACCCATTCTTTTGTGAGTCATAACACTTACTTAAGTCAATGGAAATTTTCCCTAACACTTGACCAAAGATGTGGGGCCACACATAATATTTAACTCTTAGGTAGTTACGTGAATCAAACATGCTTCCACTCTTTTCTCAACAGGACAAATCAAAAGATAGAGTCCATAAAATACCTTCCCTTACTAAACATCTAACTCCTTAAATTGTTTTAAATGTATGACTTTGAATGAAACCATGAGTGCCAGCTGAGGTGTAGGATACATTTCTAGGTTGGGTTTTAGTTTTGGCTCAAATGTGGCCTCCCAAGGTTGAGAATACAAGTGATGAGAACAAAACCCACCCACTTTCAGGCAATACTAGAAGGGTGTGACCCATTAGGTCAGAAGTCAAGGAACAAGTTTTGGCTTTTAAAAAAGGATCAATATTTTGTGGCTAAACATGACAAGACATCTAACTCCCTTCCCTATCACTTGCTATATGGTTCACATTGCTGCCTTTGATCCAGTTAGAATTACAAGATATTTTATGCTAAATAAGCAGCTGACTCCTGCCATCACAATACTAATGAGCTCTAATGAATTCTAATGAACTCTTTTCATTAGAACCCTGCTATTTCCAGATTCCTGGACCCAAAAATCTATAGGAACAAGGAAAAGCATTTGCTAATGGTGATAAGACTCTGATGTCAACATTGACCTTTTTTTTGGAAGACGGTAGGTAATTATATTAGAAAAATTATAATTAGTTATTTTTACAACATCTTCCAATATATTTATTTTGGGAGGATCAGGCAAAAACTTGATGAATATTCCAAATAGCACAGGTTTTTAAAAAAATGGAATGTCATAAAATTCTATCAGAAAAGCAATCATTTTATTTCCCTCTCATGGCATGAAAAATAGGCAAAATGATAAACAAATCAATTACATAAATATTACTCTCAGAATAGAGGCTCAATGAGAATGCAAAGGATGCTTCACATACTTGATTCTGGCTCATTCTCAAATTGTTCTGTCCTTGACAGATGTCAGTTGGGGTTCGTTAGTGTTAATAGTTAATGACAAAATGCTGACTGCTATGCTGCAGTTATCAATTTTAAACCTTTGCTTTTCTGTGTAATCGAATAAAATGAAGCACACATCCCTCATCTCATCTAATTTTTCAATTGTGCAGAGGACAGAATTGTGCTTTAATCTACCCTCATAGAACAGATCACCAACCCATTCTCTTTAGGAGAATGGCTCCGAATTCTAGATACAGAATTATTTGGGGGACACTAAGGATAGATATTTTAAGTTATTATCAAATCAATCATGAAAATTTAGCAAACTTTCCCCTAATAGTTATGAATACATTAACAGTCTATTATTATTATCAATCCTGCTCAATGTTATATGAAGTTGACCTAAAATACAGTTAATGATTCATTGCTAAATGAAAGGATTACAAATACAAGCCAAGTAAACAACACAAGTAGAGTCTGCAAACCAAATTTACAGTTTGTGTTAAAAGAGGGTTCAAAGATTTTTGGTTTTCTCTTATGTACAAAGTTGTATGTGATCATTTCTGTTACACAGTGGAATACCATAGGTCATCAATGAAGACTGCTATATGCATAGGTACTCAAAAACTACAGTCTTCCGAGTCAATGCATGTCAAAAATTGCATCTATGACACTAAACATTTACATAAATATATAGGTAAGTTACACATACTTATGTAAGTACATGTAAGAACATACATGTACTATACATCTGTGAATCTACATGTACACACATAAGTATATAAGTACATACACATATATATATACATACTTATGAATATATATAAGTATAAAACTATAAAAATGAAGGTATATATCAACACTTTTCTACAATGCTCCTTATAAAATAGAAACTAAGAAAAAAATTACAATTGTCTTTGCTTCTTTTTCTTTGGAAGAAAACTTAGGCTATTGCATAAGGCAAACAATCAATAACATCATTGTATTATTCCAGTTTTATACTGGATATTACAAGTTTTACTCTTATTTTCTTTCCAAGCAGTTAGAAAGTTCATTGTTTACACAGCTGAAATTGTGGGCTAGTCAGGCCCTCATCTGTGTTTGGAAAGAGATGTAAATTCTTTTTTAAAAATGGGTCCACAAAGGTCATTCTGTTGAAAAACTACAATTTCCCTATCTTCCTAACCTTTAAATAATTACCCTCCCGGAGCATTTTTCCACGGGGGAGAACTCTGGTCAGTAAATAATCTGTGATTTCTTTCAAGACTGTATGAGTTTAGGTCATTGCTGCTTGGAAAAGAGGGTTTCCATTGGGAAATAATTGTAAAAGATCAAATCAATATTTATAGAAAGTGTCAAACATTTTCTTTATCTTAAACCTTTTTTATTAGGATCAGCTATACCACATATTTTGTGCCATGGACTTCTAAGAAATAGGCTACTTCTCTGGTATTTCAGATTTGGCTTTTCGATTTGTTTAGGAGGGGGGCTTAACATCTGTTTATAACTAGCAACTGAGTTTTTGAAAAGCAAAGGGAACTACTTGATGATTTGTGACTCTGAGACCGGTTGCATGTGTGTCCCTTGGTTCTCAGAGAGGCTTTTCTGTGTGATCAGAGTAAGCCCATGAGATGGTAGTACAGCTTCTAAAGCTTCGTCACTTTATGAAAGAGAAAACGCTAGCTGGATCCAGTGTCCTGAGTCTAGCGCTCTCCCTGAATGCCTTCTGCAGAGCTTGGTTTATCAACACTGCAACTGGCATGAGTCTGTTTTATCTTGTCATTTCTTTTTTCTTTTTGAGACAGAAGGGACTAGGGCCACAGATAATCCCTGCCGGTGTGGAGGTCAGCGACACAGAATGTAGAATGTGCTCTCCTCCTTCACTGAGTAGGAATGAGAGGATCTGAGTGCCACTGCAGCTGTACAGCACTTTCCAGAAGATCCTTCCCTTCCAGCCAGTCAGGTGGAAAAGGGTGTTTCCACATCAAGGATAGTTTCCCCAAATATGTGTAACCTTAAGTTTGTTTTGGGGTGAGGAAATCTGCAACTTATTTTTTTTTTTTTTTTGGTTAAAGCAGATCTGAACACTCAAGATGGACCTTTGTCTTGCTTTCACTTTCCATCTGCACTGTGGTCTGAGCTAGTTCTCTCCACACCCCCGGGATCGTCAGTGACCCAAGCAGTGACCCAAGAGTTATATCATAAATACCCCCAAGGAATGCCCACTCTACTCCTACAAAGGACATCAATCTGAGTGTGTGACAGTTCAGTAAATTACTCTCAAAAGAATTACTCAGGAAGCTTTACTTTTTTTATTTCTACAGTCACCATTGTCACTAATGTTTTATACCAACCTGTGCTTTTATGAGAAAGGAAATTCTAGTGCAATATTCTAAGGAGGAGAAATTGGAAATGCACTTATTTCCTTCATTTGCTAGTTTTCTCATTCACATACTTGGAGGAAGAGAAGCATGTGTGTGTTAAATGGAATTCACGAGAAAGACATTGGTGAGTTTTAGAAATAAGCAGTAACATAAGGAATACAAATAAAAAGGAAGCCTAGAGAAGTGGTGATTTCAGATGGCAAAATATATGGCAGAAATCAAAATGGAGGTTAGAAAGCAATGCATAAAGGGGGAAAAGACTTTGAAAGAAGACTCCTGCATTGTTCTCTCCATCCCTAAAGAGGGATCAGGTCATGAGGTGCTGGAAAAGCAGGTGCTAGCACCTAAGTCACACTGCACAGGGATGCAGTGGACAGTTTATCAGGGAGGGCTGCCTGGAGGAGTTGACATTTGAGCTGAATTCTTAGAAATCAAAGAAAAACAGCTGGCCAGCAAATAAGCAGGTCAGGGGAGGGAAAAAGTGGAGGAAGAGGAGTAAAAGGTAGTTATATTTGGATCTGTGTGGACCACAGAAAATGTCACAGACTTCCCTGGAGAGTCCGAGGGCAGGGCTGGGATGCATAACAGGTGAAGAGTGATAACTACTACCAGGTTGTTGGGCTAGAGAACAAGCCAGGCTGTGCTGGAAGAGAGTTGCCTCAGGGCCTTGCAGTTAAAAAGGCAGATAATAAGTATTCACCAGAATGAAAGAAATGGCTTTGATTTTATTTTTTTGGGGGGGGGAAGGAGATAGATGAGAATGGAAGACCTGAGGTTCAAATAGAACAGGCTAGGGAGAGGGTTGAAGAGAAGACCAAGCGTGATTTATAGAGATTATTACTAGAAACTGGAAATGTTAGTGAAGCAAGTGGGCAAGAAGTGAGCTCTGAAGCAGGACAAGCTTCATGAGAAAGACACACCAGGGAAGAGCTCATGGACACAGCAGGGCCAGGACGCAGGAGCGGAGCCAGGAGTCCACAAAGCCTGATCACGAATGTGCCCATGACCGGAAGCGGAAACGTGGCTGCCAGACTAAAGCCCTGCTGGAGGGACCTGTGAAACGTCTGGGAGTGTTGACAAGGACACATATAGACCATTCCTCTTTAGGCCCTGTTAGAGCAAATTCGAGGATCCAGAGTACAGTTGTGACACAAGCGTGTCAGTGTATTTTGTAGAATTAGGAAGATAAAAAAATATATATGTAGTTTGAGCCTGTCACGGCAATATTAGTTCATTA